CACTTAACCAAAGTGAAATATTTCCTCAAAGAATAGCAGGAAACGCTCAAAAATTGTAAATTAGATAGATCATGGCTGGAGAAATCAGGAAAGCTAATCAACACATCTCCTGATAAATTAAAATAAAAATCCCAAATTGAACACATGCAAGATATGACTCTTTTCTGATCATACATGCTTTTGGATGTATTGATATACCGTTCAGCATTGCAAAGAAAGAGAAACAGTTTTTTTATATATATATGCAGATGCATATATATATATGCAGATTTTCCAGCATATATATATATATATATATATATATATATATGTATATAAATTTCTTTTTCTGACAAAGAGTTAAAGAATTAAATTGGGAGACTAAGATGGCCATTTCGAGCTCATTCTGCTCTCTTCAGTTAGCCACACCCTTTATGGGTGTGGCTAACTGAAGAGAGCAGAATGAGCTCGAAATGGCCATCTTAGTCTCCCAATTTAATTCTTTAACTCTTTGTCAGAAAAAGAAATTTGGATATGTAAATGTTTCGCAGTTGCGACTTGAGCCTGCTTAACGCCCCTAGTTGGGGGGCTGCAGGGCAAAAGAGATTGTAAAAAGTATAACTGCAGTGTAGCAGTTAAAAATGTCAAGGTGTAATCAATCAGACCGGTCTGTCTGAAAAACTTCCCATATATATATTTCATAAAGGTGGTGATTAATTCCGATTAATACCTTTACTCCTCCAGCCATCAATCATCCACTCTGAAAATGGAAAATTATTATATTATTAATATTATATTAATAATACTAATAAAAATAACAACAAGACCGCTGCCCATTTCAATGGAGCACAAAACTAAAAGTCAAGCTTAAGAAATCATTTAATTTCAAACGAGCTTCTGATTTGTATGAAGGAGTTCAAAAAATTACTGTGGAAAATGCAGAATCAAAGTTCCATTTCCTAAAAGTGAGTTTGTGCCATTTCAAAAAAACACCAAAAACCTTTCTTGAAATTATACATGAATATAGGAACAACTGTCTTAAATATAACATGTGGTTGGGGAAGGTCCCAGTTTGGTATGTCAAATAATATGGTTAGGAAAAAGTCCATCAGCTTGCTTTATTTTTGTTGTGATTGTATGTTATATTTAAATGCATTAATAAGGGAAGGGGAGGGGGAGGGGGAGGAGGAGGAGGAGGAGGAGGAGGAGGAAAGAAGAAGAAGAAGAAGAAGAAGAAGAAGAAGAAGAAGAAGAAGAAGAAGAAGGAGGAGGAGGAGGAGGAGGAGGAGGAGGAGGAGGAGGAGGAGGAGGAGGAGGAGAAGGAGAAGGAGAAGGAGAAGAAGGGGGAGGAGGAGGAGGAGGAGGAGGAGGAGGAGGAGGAGAAGAAGAAGAAGAAGAAGAAGAAGAAGAAGAAGAAGAAGAAGAAGAAGAAGAAGAAGAAGAAGAAGAAGAAGAAGAAGAAGAAGAAGAAGAAGAAGAAGAAGAAGAAGGGGAGGAGGAGGAGAGAAGGAGAAGGAGAAGGAGGAGAGGTAGAGAGAGAAGGAGAGGGAAGAAGAAGAAGAATGTCTCCTGAGTCTCTCATTTTCCCTTCTGTCCTTGGATGGGCCAAATCAGGAGCAGAACATCCATGCTGGCCTTCCCCACTCCAAATGTGGCCCAGGTAGACTGAGGGGTCAACCATGAGGTCAACTGACCAGATGGGTCCCCAACTACCAACAAACATTCTTAGAAGCTAGCATTATTCTAATTCGGCAGAACTATACCACTTCTTTGGGCCCAACATGTCCTACAGAATACCTTCAACAACTAGTGAAGCCAGACATTGGTCTACTCCAGATAAACAGCAGATCGGATGTCCCACAGAGCAGCAGATAAAAGTAATTGTATAACTGAATGCTCTCTTGACATTGTAAATCCTCTCTTGGGGGTAACAGGGTAACCCCTTCAGTTTGCTCAAAGCCCTTCTCCCCGATATAGTAATTTTCCAGGTGGAGGGACGTTGGGGATCCCTCATTCAGATACGTCCTCACTCTCAGTCTAGTTGACTCCCAGCTTAGCTCTCTCTGTCTCTCTCTCTCTCTGTCTCTCTCTCTCTCTCTGTCTCTGTCTCTCTCTCTCTCTCTCTCTCTCTCTCTCTCTCTCTCTCTCTCTCTCTCTCCTCAGCGAGAACTAAACCTAGCTCTCCAAGACAACAACAAGCAACTTCATAACTTCATCTTCTCTCAACTTTCCCTTCCAGGACTTCCGTTCTCCAACTTCAACAAATCATCTTCTGTCTAGAGAAGCTTCTGAAAGGGTCTGAAGCTTCCATTCTCCAAGCCCTTGAAAATATTGCCCCTCTTAAAAGAAATGAGGTACTGAAGGGAGTATCTTGTTGACCTCCAACCTCAAGAAAGGGTCATGGTTCCCAAGCCAACGTTTGGATGGACTTAAGTTTCAGTTTTCAACTTAGTTTTCAAATTGCAGGCAACGGGGCAAGGACAAGAATGCCCTTCCACTTTCTCTCATTTAGATTGAAATCTCACTAACATTAAACGGGTTTAATATTTCTCTTCTCCTGCCCAATATTTACCTTTTTTCTTGAAAGTAAAGTCATATTGAAAGTAATAATTCGGTAACGTACTTCTGAGGTCTGCAAGGGCCATGCTAAAGGTGCTTAGAACATGAACACTTAGGATCTTGAATGTTTGGTTGGTATCTCTGAACCACCAGATGAATCCTAGCATCGATGTTTCATGTTTTTGCACCATGGGAAACTTTAGATCAAGGGGTCTTCAAACTTGGCCGTTTTATGACTTGTGGACTTCAACTCCCAGAATTCCAGTTCCGGAAGCCCACAAGTCATAAAAGGGCCAAGTTTGAAGACCCCTGCTTTAGATCCACATAGGATTCCTCCAATCACTTGGACCTCATTGAGACATGAGTTCTAACTCTACTCTCGCTGGTCCTCCCCCATCTGGAGCCCATCCTCACATGGACAATCTCCCATCTAAGGACACCTGTTCCTTAATCTATGGCTGAAAAGAAAATTAAGACACACACACACACACACCAACCCACCCACTCCCCCGGAAAGAAATTTGGGAAGACTCAGTTAACAGTCCGACGTACCTTCAGGTCTACAAAGACATGTCGGTACAGTGTAGTGCAAAGCCAAGTGTTTAGCAGAAAGGAAGAACTTTGCTAGATGTAATACATGACGGATGCCTACGCGATATGAGGTTATTGGCCTTATTCCATATTTACCTCATTCCTTTGCTGTGAATTATACATGAGGAAGCAAGGCTTATATTTCCCCCCCCCCAAGCTACAGCAAGCCCTAAAGATCGTCTCATCCTTGCCGAAAGCAAATAACCCAAAACCACCGCATGCAGCCGAAAGCAAATAACCCAAAACCACCGCATGCAGCGCTCTCTCTTCAACATGCAGAGTAAGGATTGGTACAGGAGCAGATAAATGCAGGTGTAGACCAGGGCTTTGCAACCTTTTCACCCATTGTACCACTTTTAGGATATGGCAATATCCGAGGACCACCAGTCGCCTAGCAAGGTGTCAAAAACTTGATGACCAAAAAAAAAAAAGTGATAAAGTACACGTAACCCTCGACTTAACCACAGTTTGAAAGAGGGTGGAAATGATGGGGCAGTTGGCTGGGAATTTCTAGCCTGGTGTTTGCAATGCTGCCATCTCTTCTGGCTTCCTGCAGGGAGGCTAGAAAAGTCCATCCTTTACATGGTGACAGGCTGCCAAGGAAGGATGACAACTCTCAATGCAGGTGCACAAATGCACACACCACAGACAAAAAAAGAAAGAAAGAAAAGAAAGAAAGAAAGAAAGAAAGAAAGAAAGAAAGAAAGAAATGAGAAAGGAAGGAAGAAGGAAGGAAGAAAGAAGAAAGAAAGAAAGAAAGAAAGAAAGAAAGAAAGAAAGAAAGGGAAAAAAGAAAGAAAGGAAAGAAAAAAAGAAAGAAAGGAAAGAAAGAAAGAAGAAAGAAAGAAAGGAAAGAAGAAAGGAAAAAAGAAGAGGAGAAAGAAAGAAAGAAATGAGAAAGGAAGGAAAGAAGGAAGGAAGGAAGAAAAAAGAAAGAAAGAAGAAAGAAAGAAAGAAAGAAAGAAAGAAAGAAAGAAAAGAAGAAAGAAAGAAATGAGAAAGGAAGGAAGAAGGAAGGAAGGAAGAAGAAAGAAAGAAAGAAAGAAAGAAAGAAAGGAAAGTAAAAAGAAAGAAGAAAGAAAGAAAGGAAAGAAGAAAGGAAAGAAAGAAAGAAATAAGAAAGAAAGAAATGAGAAAGAAGGAAGGAAAGAAGAAAGAAAGAAAAAAAGAAAGGAAATAAAGAAAAGAAGAGAAAGAAAGAAATGAGAAAGGAAGAAAGAAGGAAGGAAGGAAGGAAGGAAGGAAGGAAGGAAGGAAGGAAGGAAGGAGAAAGGAAAAAAGAAAAGAGAAAGAAAGGAAAAAAGAAAAGAAAAAGAAAGAAAGGAAGAAGGAAGGAAGGAAGGAAGGAAGGAAGGAAGGAAGGAAGGAAGGAAGGAAGGAAGGAAGGAAGGAAGGAAGGAAGACTAGATGAGGGAAACAGCAAAATCTCTAGAAGTGGGGCTGGAGAAAAGCTGAGTTGTGTAGAAAAATGATTACAACTTACTTGGCAAAGGTAAAGCCAAGTTGCAAAGTCATGCTGTCTTGGAAAGAAGAACTCAGAAGAACGCTGAAGGTGAATGAGGGTTGATAGTCCTGCTCTCCCACTTCCTTTTTGCTTTCCCCCCAAAGCTCTCTCTCTCTCTCTGTCTGGGGTGCTCACACTGGGCAAGGCGGGGTGGCCAACTTCACGCTGGCCCAGCCTTGCCTCTTGAGATCAGAATTCTTCCGCCAGGCACTTCCAGCAGTTCAGCGGGTGTGAGGATAAAGGCACTAAGCAACTCCCTCCAATCAGTTGGTTGCGTCTTTAGGGAGCCCCCACCCCAAAGTCTCTCCCCATCCAGCAACAGCTGTGAAAGAACTGGGCTGCAAGTTGAATGCATATAATAAATACATTTTTTTTATTATTATTATTGTTATTATTATTATTTTACATTGTAAGAATGCACCAAAAGGCATGCTTCTGCACCTTTTTTTGTTGTTGTTGCGTGTTGTTTCCTGATTTACAGACTCATTTAGGCATTGCTATGTATATAAACTGACCTTTAAATTTCCGTAGTTTTTTTTTTTTTTTTTTTCCCTTTAAGGGCTGGAGTCGGTTCCTTTCCAGCCAGGCCCCGGCAGAAGCCAACTAAATTCCCTGAGTAAAACACAGGAAAATAATTGAGACTATGTAATGAGAGCTTCCCGGCCCTTCGGTCCCGATAAAGCGATTAAACAAACAAACGGAAAGAAATTTTTCTCTTTTTTTTGTTGTTGTTGTTGTTTTTGTTTTACCAAACTCATGCATTAATTAATTGGAGCTGTGCCTTTCGTCAAAGAGGCCATAATGCGGAATATTTTAACATGCTTTGATTCTCCAAAAGTTGTTATACCCAGTTGACTAACATATGCACTTAGATAACAGTACTTTTCGGTTACTAATTAGATACTTCGTAAATTAAAAAAAAAGGAGTGCACTTTTGGTGAATGCAAATTGAAACCAAAAAGAAAGAAAGAAAGAAAGACAGGCCTATCTTAAAAGGAGGTGGGTCGAAACAAAAGCCTATTCCTTAATTTCTGAGGTAATGGGCCAAGGCATGCAGTTAGTTATAAAACAGAGAAGTATCAAAGTCCACATGCTTCTATTAAATTCTATTGTGCTGTCTTGCTAGAGAGAAGCTACAAACATTTGCATCCAGTTCTGGAGAAGAGGGGCTCTTTGGCCCCTTGAAGACCCCTTAGCAGCACTGCAGATATTTTGTACCCCCCCCCAAAAAACCCCAAGCCCTGGGAGAAGGATCCCTCAAAAGGGTGTCCCGCAAACCCAGAATGACCTGGCATATTTTTTTGTAAAGTGCTGTGCGTAGATCCGTACACCAGACCTACAAAACCTTTTGCCAAGGAACTAGATTAAGTCGATCCTCCTAAGGCAACTATTTACTGCCCATTATTTTACTGCTCAAAAGAGTATTGGATGCGTGTTTTGGGATGCATTGTGCAGGGTTTTGTTGTTGTTGTTGTTGTTGCTGTTTTCGTCTTAAATAGAAACTTTTCCTGTATTCCATGCATATTTGTTAAAAGTCCTCTCCGGGGGGGATTGTTAAAAATCAAAGTGAACGAACCAAAAAAAAAAAAAAAGAAGAAGAAGTAAAGCAAAGGATTCTAGGGCTAGAAGCATATCGTACTTATTTCTAACTAGACTAGTCCGATGGATGATCATTAACTATTCATACCCACTGGAAAATAACTTTTGAAAAGGAAATCCTCTTCCATCCTCCCCCCCCCCCACACCCAAAATAAAACACAACCCCAAAATTGTGACTCTCATTCATGGGATCCTGAACGCTTCTTGAGGGCGCTGAGCAAAATTTGCAACGCAGCCGAGGTCAAGCATTCAAAGGCATATTCATCAAGCATCTACAAAGAGGGGGGGGCAATCATCCCTTTAACATTTCCAAGCTACCAAGGTGTGTGTGGGGGGGGTTCCCCTCCCCCTTCCCTACATGGCCTAAACATCGGTAAGCAGCTTGGTTTTATTGACACAGTTCTGATTGGTTAAGGTGTAGTTGCCAGTTCTGAGAGTGGCGTCCCTAAAATTGTCTAGGCTATTATTCACATCCTCCTGAATTTCCATATACTCAGACTTGTTGATGCTGGAGGAGCTACGGCGACTCAGGTTTGAGTCAGAGGCTAAGTTAGGAGAGCTAACTTTAAGCAATTGAGCCTGTTCTTCCCCTTCTGTTTCTCGGTGGTAGAAGTAGTTGAAGTTGGACACAATGACAGGTACAGGCAGGGCAATTGTCAGCACACCAGCAATGGCACACAAGGAGCCCACGATTTTGCCTCCAATTGTCACAGGGTACATGTCACCATATCCTACGGTGGTCATGGATATCACTGCCCACCAGAAAGCTTCGGGGATGCTCTCAAAAGAAGTCCCATTTTCCTCAGCTTCAGCAAAGTACACTGCGCTGGAGAACAAAATCACCCCAATGAAAAGGAAAAAGATTAGCAAGCCTAACTCCCTCATGCTCGCCTTGAGGGTCTGTCCCAGAATCTGGAGGCCTTTGGAGTGCCTGGAGAGTTTGAAGATGCGAAAGACTCTTACCAATCGGATGACCCTCAGGATGGCCAGAGAAGTGGCCTGTTCTCCTTTGGGGGGGCCCTTCCGCTCCGCCATCTCTGTGCCCAGAGTGATGAAGTAAGGGATAATGGCCACTATGTCTATGAAATTCATGATGTTCTTGAAGAACTCGGCCTTGCTTGGGCAGGCGATGAAGCGCACCACCAACTCGAAGGAAAACCAGATGATGCATAGAGTTTCCACCACGAAGAAGGGGTCCGTGAAGATGTTGGGTTTGCGAAAGACGGTGGAGTTGTCCATACGCTTGTGGAGCTCAAAGTCCTTCTCCTGGTCCTTTAAGACTGGCAGGGTTTCCAGGCAAAAGATGACGATGGAGATTAAGATCACCATGACGGAGACGATGGCGATCACCCGGGCCGGCCCAGAGCTTTCGGGGTATTCGAAGAGCAGCCAAAGCTGCCTTTGATATTCTTTCTCAGGGAGGGGTCGCTCTTCCTCTTTAATGAAACCTTCATCCTCCCGGAATTTTTCCATGGCCTCTTCCCCCAGCTCGTAAAACTTGATCTCCTCGGAGAACATGTCCAGAGGGACGTTGACCGGCCGGCGAAGCCTTCCCCCAGACTGATAGTAATAGAGGATGGCATCGAAGCTTGGCCGATTCCGGTCAAAGAAATACTCGTTCCTCAGTGGGTCAAAGTACCTCATGCGTTTCTTGGGGTTCCCCAGTAAAGTGTTGGGGAACTGAGCCAGGGTTTTCAGCTGCGTCTCAAACCTCAGGCCAGCAATGTTAATCACCACCCGCTCACAGCACTCGTGGTCCTCGTGAGACCCAGGCCGATAGCTGTCCTGAGGGTGGCCTGGCAAAGCCAAGGTTTCGTCCGGGTTGTCCCCAGCCATGACAGTCATGGTGGGAGAAGGAGAGTTAGGGCCGGAGGCAGGAGACAAGAGAAGTCCCCCAGCCCCCGGAGCCGGCCAGCGAGCAATGGAGGGAGGAGGACTTCAGAGAGAGCCGTGGGTCCCCTGCAGAGTTAGACCATCGCTACGGAGAGTGCTGAAGTGGACAGCTCCCAGGGGCAGAGTTAGACCATCTGTACGGAGGGTGCTGAAGTGGACAGCTCCCAAGGCAGAGTTAGACCATCTGTACGGAAGGTGCTGAAGTGGACAGCTCCCGGGGCAGAGTTAACGCGTCGCTGTGGAAGGTGTGAAGTGGACAGCTCCCGGGGCAGAGTTAACGCGTCGCTGCGGAAGGTGCTGAAGTGGACAGCTCCCGGGGCAGAGTTAACGCGTCGCTGCGGAAGGTGCTGAAGTGGACAGCTCCAGGGTTGGGAGACGGCAGGGATGAAGAACGGAAAGTCAAGAGAGAGAAAGCGGGGAAGGGGCTGGGCCGGAGGGAGTCCGGGCTGAAGAAAGGAAGGGAAATAGGGAAGGGAGCTAGTCATTGGGCAGGAGACGGTGGGGGGGTGGGGTGGGGGGGAACCAGGCAAGTCGGACTGGCTCCACAAAGGCAGGAGGAAAGCCCGGGCCTCCGCGCACGTGTGGGTGGGTGGGTGGGTGAGTGAGTGGGGGGATAGAGGTAGGCTAGGAGAGGGAGCTGCGCCAGTCTTCGCCCTCTTGGACTTTTCTTGCCGGATGGCGCCCTCCGCAGCGGTGGCTGCGGCTGCTGTTGCACTGCGGCTCCTGCCACACTTTGCCTCCTCGCACCGAGAGATAAATAAATAAACAAACACACAACTGCTGCTGCTGCGGCGGCGGCGGCGGCTGAGGTGAGGTGGCCCAGATGCCGACTCAGCAAGATCCGGCGACTTCCCCTTGGCTCTGGGCTGGCCCTTGCTTACCAGTGAGGACTCCTCGGGGGGGGGGGAGGGAGTCGGGTTAACGGGCACAGACTGCAAAGGATAAGAAAGCATTCGTTGTGTTTTGTTTTGTTTTAAAAAAAAGATTTCTCCCCCCCCCCTTATACACACACTCTCCTTCTCCAGCCCCTGCACACCAACCCACCCAGGCCAAAGCAGAAGCGGCCGCATGCTTGCGGGAACGCCGGCCGGAGGCTTTCCGCCTTGCCCACCTGGAAGCTCCACGCCCCGCCAAGTTCACGCGTCGCCCCCCAGGTCGAACGCGCCCCGGGCAGCCTCCGGTCGGCTCATGCACTGCAGCGGAGAGGCGGTCACCCGAGTGGGAAGCCAGGAAGGTGTGTGTGGGGGGGAATCCGTGGAGGCAGGAAGATCTCTTAAAAGTTTGGGGAGGGGCGCTGGTCATTCTTCCGCAGCTCAGGATCGGGGGAGGGGGGAGGGTGCTTCAGGCAACGGTGCCCGGGGGGGAGGGGGCGGGCGCGAAGAGGAAAGGTCCGCTCAGGCTCCGTCGCCCCCCCACCCCACTCCACTCCACCCCTCCATCCTTCTTCCCTCCCCTCCCCCCGTTTTCCCGCAAAGCAGCAGGCAAAGTTGTTCCGGCTCTCCTCCTTACCTTGCCTTGGGGAGTGGGGGGGGCAGTGTGTGGGGGGGGCGGTCCTGCTGCAGCGCCCGTTCTCCGAGCCCGCTCGGGATGCGTCAAGGCGCGTGGCAGCCCCGCCGCCGGTCCGACTGCGCCGCGGCCACCCCCGCGCACCAGGCTACGGGGAGCTTGTCAGGAGCTCGGGAAAGTTGGGGAGGGGGCGGGAGACCCCTGGCCGGCCCGCGCTGCTGCCGCGGCCGCGTTCCGTCTGCCTTAAGGGTAGAGCGAGCCCCACGGTCGTCGTCCTCCTCCTCCTCCTTCTCCTCCTCCCCCTCCTCCTCTTGGCGTGGCCGCGGCCGGGGCTGCCTCGGCTCGGGGGGGCGCCGAAGAGCGGGAGCCGGCGGGCGCTTGCGGCAGAAGCGGAGCGCAGCCGAGCCGGGCCGGCCATCCCCGACCGCGCTGCAGCCTCAGCAGAAATTGCCAGCGCTCGGCGCAGCTGCAGCGGGGGTGGGGTGGGGGGGGGAGAAGGGAGGGAGGGAGGGAAGGAGGGAAGGAGGAAAGGAGGGCGGGAGAGGAGGAGGAGAAGGAGGAGGAGGAGGGGGTGCCCGTCCTGCGCTCGGCTGCGCTGCGCTGCTCGGCTGCGCCCGGGCGCGTCCCCGCCAGAGCGGCCGGGAAAGCGCCCCCCCCGGCCCACGGACCCCCGCGCCCTTCCCGAGGAAGACCGAGATCACGTTGCGGACCGGGGGAGGGGGGGGAGAGCCGGACCCGGCGCAATGCAGCCGTGCCTGCGGCTGGCGAGGTGGGTGGTGGCCCGGAGGGTCTCCAGCGCTCTCTCTCTCTGCGGCGGAGGGGCCGCTTCGGTTGGGGTTCCCCACCTCCTCGCGCTCCCTCCCCGGGCTTGGTTTTCCCAGCCACCCCCCCCCCAAGCCTGAACACCCCCCCCCCTCTCCCGGGCCTGGCACGCTTCGGGCCTCGTTTGGAGAGCGCGGCCAGGGCGCTCCTCGCTTTCCGCCGCGCGCAGGGCCGAAGGCGCCGCAGAGCAGGGCTGCAGCAAAAATCTTGGCAGCGCCTGGCTGGCAAGCGCGGCGGCCCCTGCAGAGCAGCGGCGTCGGGGCAAGCCTCCTTCCTTGACCCGCAGCGCCAGAGACCTCCCCCCCTTCCTTCCTTCCTTCCTTCCTTCCTTCCTTCCTTCCCAAACGAGTCTCTCCCCGCCGGGTCTCTGAATTCGGCCTCTGCTAAATTTGGGAGGCATTGGGGGCACCGGGATGAAGGAGGAAGGCTTGGAAAGCTCCGCAGGGTTGGGGGAAGGGGGGTGAGAATTCAGCAACTGAGGCTGCCCATCCCTCACAGAAGGAGGAGGCTGGGACAGATCACCTGAGGGTCACCAGAGGCAGGACCTGAGCTGGCTTCCAGAGAAGGAAGGTTGTGTAAAGCAGGGGTCTCCAACCTCCGATCCCGTGGACCAGTACCGGGCCACAGCACACCAGCAACCGGTCCGCACAAACAAGCCAAGCCCCATCCCTGGGATGCAGGCAGCACCCAAAACCACGCACTCTCCGGTCCGCGGAAAAAACCTCTCTCCACGGAAGCAGTCCCTGGTGCCCAAAAGGTCGGGGACCTCTGGTGTCAAGTGCAGTTAGTCCTTGGCTTACGACCGCAATTGAAGCCAACATCTCTGGGCCTAAGCAAAACCATCCTTAAGTGAGTTTTCCCCTATTTTACCACCTTTCTGCCGTTGTTAAGTTAGTGACACGGTTGTTAAATGAACCCAGCTTCCCGCATTGACTTTGCTTTTCCGAAGGTCGCAAAAGGGTCTCCGGGACACATTGCGACTGTCATAAATATGAGTCGGTTGCCAAGCGTGCGAATTTTGATCACGTGACCATGCGATGGTGTGGGAAATGGCCCTATTTCATCTTTTTCGGCACGGTTGCAACTTCAAACGATCACTAAATTGGAACAGTCACTAAACAAACCGTTTTAAGCTGAGGACTTACCTGTTCAGGTAGTCCTTGATTTACAACCATTCGTTTAGCGACTGTTTCAAGTTATGACAAGCCCCCCCACCCCAAAGTTACTTCCGACCAAAATTCTAAGATCTGACCCGGGGACAGGGCCACCGTCATAAATATGAGTCAGTGGCCAAGTGTGAATTTGGATCCCAGGATCATTGGGATGATGTGATGGTTGTAAGTGTGAAAAATGGTCATACGTTGGTGCCATTGTAACTTTGAATGGTCAATGTTGTAAATCAAGGATTACCTGGACACCCCACACGGACATATTCTGGGGGTGATGGAAATCTAGCCTCCCTGAGGTTAGATGTCTTTACTCAAGGTTGGACCCAAGGAGTAAATGGATCTTCCCCGTTGTAGCACATCAGAAACCTGGACACTGGTTCCTATAACTTGCAGGCACTTTGGATTCTTAATTTATACTGATGTCAATGTAATCAAGGTAGTCCTTGACTTAGGACCACAAGTGAGTCCCACCTTTCCGTTGCTAAGCAAGACAGTTGACTTTTGCCCCATTTTATGGCCTTTCTTGACACAGTTGTTGTGAGTGAATTACTGCAATTGTTGAGTTAGTAATACAGTTGCTAAGTGAATCTTGCTTTTTTCCCCCACCCCTGGAATTTGCTCGGGGAATCACGTGACCCCAGGACACGCCAACCGTCATAAACAGGAGCAGGTTGCCGAGCGTCCGAATTTTGATCCAGTGACCATGGGGAGGTGCAACGGTCAAAGTGTGTGAAAAACGTTCACTTTTTTCAGTGCTGTTGTAACTTTGAACGGTCGCTAAACAAAAAGCTGTAAGTCGAGGATGACCAATAATGTTTTCACCATCCTGGAGGGAAAACGCAGCAACTTCAGGCAGATGGCTGAATCGTGGTTTATCTCTTAGCTCTTGGTTTAGGGGTCTTCTTGAAGGCCCTGCCACACTTAACTATAGATACTGCCCCAATTTAAATTTAAATTTGACAATGACTACTTCTTGTAAAGTGCGTATAGTCCAGGCCATGGTTTTCCCAGTTGCAATGTATGGCTGTGAACGTTGGACCATAAGAAAGGCTGAGCGCCAAAGAATTGAGGCCTTTGAACTATGGTGCTGGAGAAGACTCCTGCAAGTCCCCTGGACTGCAAGGCGATCCAACCGGTCAGTCCTAGAAGAGATCAACCCCATCTGCTCTTTAGAAGGCCAGATCCTGAAGTTGGAAACTCAAGGACTTTGGCCACCTAATGAGAAGGAAGGACTCACTGGAGAAGAGCCTGATGCTGGGAAAGACGGAGGGCAAGAGAAGAAGGGAACGACAGAGAAGGAGGTGGCTGGATGGAGTCACTGAAGCAGTAGGTGTGAACTTAAATGGACTCCAGAAGATGGTAGAGGACAGGAAGGCCTGGAGGAAGATCATCAACTTTGAACTATGGTGCTGGAGAAGATTCCTGCGAATCCCCTGGACTGCAAGGCGATCCAACTGGTCAGTCCTAGAAGAGATCAACCCTGACTACTCTTTAGAAGGCCAGATCCTGAAGTTGAAACTCAAGTCCTTTGGCCACCTAATGAGAAGGAAGGACTCACTGGAGAAGAGCCTAATGCTGGGAAAGATGGAGGGCAAGAGAAGAAAGGGACAACAGAGAATGAGGTGGCTGGATGGAGTCACTGAAGCAGGAGGTGTGAACTTAAATGGACTCCAGAAGATGGTAGAGGATAGAAAGACCTGGAGGAACGTTGTCCATGAGGTTGCGATGGGTCAGACACAACTTCATAATTAACAACAACAACTTCTTGTGATGTCCTGGTCTCTTTAACGGTCTCCAGAAAAGGACACCAAAACCCAAACTAGGCTCTGAAATCAACGACGGGTTCATGTGGTTGAACAGACATTCTTGGAAGGACGCTGAGACGCCTCGTGAATGAACGAATTCACATCTGAGAAAATCTTGGGGCCCAGAAGAACCACTCTCCCCGTTCATCGTTGAATTGAACGAAACGTTGCCCCACTTTCTCACAACTGT